ACGACTGAAAGAGGACTGAGGAAGCAAGAAAGCATAAGTGGCGTTTCTTCTATAGTATGGGCTACCACTAACGGTTTTTTTTTTTGAAGACGTTTTCTGGAATCACGCTTACATATAATCCCGTGTCGACGTGTCGATCAGCATTCGCAGTGTCCTGACACCCTAGGCAAAACTCCGATGGGCCGCATTCATGCCTGGTCAACGTTGTACTGGGCGGATAGGACGAAGAGCGCTTCCTCCTTACTGTCCTCCCCATCAGATAGATAAGTGCGTACAATCTCTCCCGACCACTGCGCCTGCGCTGGCACACCATTGCCAAGTATGCTTCAGTGCCGCGATTGCGTGCGGCATACCTCCTCGACATGCGTCAAGGCATTCGTGTTTCTAGTGGTTTGAGCCGCATCTCCAGCACGATTAACGCGGTGCTTCAGTGTCGTATCCGCTGCCTCTCTTTTGACCACTGCTACGACGCCTTTTAACCAGGTGCACGCTAACCGCGTCGTTCTCGTCGTCTGTATCGTTTATGAAACGGACGTTACGGTCAGCTGTTTCTGACGACATTGCAAATTCCTCAGATTCCTGCTCAGTCAGCAGCTTTATTTGGATTGACTGGAACTGCCTGGCCTCGTCGTCCCTTATGCCGCACAATATCCGGTCACGTCACATTCTGTCCAGAAAGTTGCCGAAGTTGCAGTCTGTCGCAAGTCCGCGACAATATGTTTGACCGTGTCGTTGTCTTATTGCCTCCGCAGAAAAAAAAAAAAGCCTGACTTACCACAGTCTCATTCACTTGCGGGCTGTAGTGTTCTTCCAACGCCTTTGCGACTTCTTCGTACGTAAGGTTGGGCACGGATGTCGATAGGCATCGTCCCTGAATGACTGGAACTACGCTGTCACTCAGTGATGCTACCAAGAGTGCGCGACACATTAAGGAGTCCGTTATAACGCTGCCTTCGAAGTAAGTCTCTAGACGCACTGGCAGGCATCCCAGCTGCTAGCTATTTCGTCGAACTCTGGTGGACTCGATCCTATCCTAGTCACCACTGAAGTGACACGACGCCGTAACAAGAACTAAACTGCTTATTGCTTGGCACTTGGCGTGGAACTTTTACAGACGAAAAACTACGTGATTCTTACACGAGCTTTGGCCGAGTACATTGAGGCCTGCTAACAAGTGATAAGAAAAACGTGCCGGTGATTTCTGTCTATCGTCGACGCTGCGCAGAGCATTAACTCTCGCATGCGCATCGTACGCTGTAGCGACGAATAAAAGCTTGTGAGCGATAGCAAGTAACACGGCTGAAGCTTAGATGAGATAAACTGCCGATCTTGTCGAATGTAGGGCACATGAGATAACATCAGCTCTCGCGTGAGGTCTGGAGTTGATTGCTCCTCAACTAGACAGCAAGTGCCTTGTCCGTGATTCGCTGGACGATGGAGTATGAAGGGACGGTGGGATAGAGTGTTTGCATGGCTCGAGCTGCAACTGTGAGCTATCACTATAATTGCGCGGTCACAAGTTCTGGCGGGTGTACTATCTCGGCAGGTATCAGCAATCAGCTCGTATACCCTACTATATATACGAGCTGTGTTATCCCCACATCATGATATGACAACTGACACTCTAAGCTGCGCGAAAAACCGCTTCTTTCACGGAAGTCGCCGCATTTCCTTACAGCAGCGTTTTGCAGTTTCGCGAGATCGGATAAAAAAAAGTTATACCCAGAGCCGTTGACACGCCACCGCCGGAGGTAGAAATACCGGCGCGCCACTGCCGGTAAATTGGGGACCGGCGCACAGGTCTAGGTTGGAGTCCCTAGTCCGGGGCTCCACTGGTTGAAGCCGCCGGCTCTCTTGACCAAGGTCTTATGAGCCGAAAGGTCTGAACAACCCAGCAAGGCTTTTTAATATGGTTCGGGTTGTAGATGGGAGCTGAATTTTTCTGGCAGGCCCACACTGTGTGGTAGGTGTCAGCCACCGATCGGCCATGGTGGTCTAGTGGCTAAGGTACTCGTCTGCTCACCCTCCGGTCGCGGGATCAGATCCCGGCTGCATTTCCGTTGCAGGCGGGAATGTTGTAGGCCCGTGTGCTCAGATTTCGGTGCACATTAAACAACTCCAGGTGGTTGAAATTTCCGGAGCCCTCCACTACGGCGTCTCTCATAATCATAACGTGGTTTTGGAACGTTAAACCATACAAATCAATCAAGTGTCAGGCACTTCACCACAGTGTTAGCAGCCGCTAGTAATCTTAGGATCGAATCACCTCTTTAGTGCCGGGCACAACATCGTGTTAGTGCATAAGAGAAACAGCGTGTGTTTGTTCGCTTTTCCAAGCCCCTTAGCTGGAGCTGGGTCCACCACGGCCGGGATTCAATCCAGCAGTCAAGCAGTCAAGCAATATAAACACAAAATCATGGTTATTTCACTGTTTTTTTATTTACGTATTGAAAAGTGTTTGTTTCCTTTTAGTCATGTTCTTTTTAACACTAGGTGACTTTCCGTCGAACTATTGTTTCCTTCTACATTCGATCCATTTTGAAGAGTAAGCATACGTGGCGAACATGGATCGTATCGTTTTACGAGGCGTTGAACTTTCACATATATAATTGAACATTCGCGTTATCCAATTGTTACGACGTCGAAGTCTTGGCCAATCCCCAACAGTGGGTGCGTACCATAGTGCCGAGGCACCGAACCAAACCAAACCACGTCGGCAAATGTCGTCACGCGCTGGCAAGCGACAGCCTATTTTGCGCCCAACCCGTACATCGCGCCGCGACGTATCGTGCCGCAAAAGGCGCGTATGCGTGCATTCCTGGGCTGAGGGCGGTGGCGGAGGGACGTGCACGGCGACGGCGGGCAACGTCTGCATCGGTCGCCGCAAGCGTCAGCGGGACGGGTGCTCGTGCCCGACCCCGGCTTTACGCTGACGCTGCCCGAAGAGTGCGGCGACCCGACGTGGTCTGCACTTTGATTACAGGTCCCCCATCGACTCTGCGCCAATTCTGATTGATACGTGGGGTTTAACGTCCCAAAACCACTATATGATTATGAGAGACGCCGTAGTGGAGGGCTCCGGAAATTTTGACCACCTGGGATTCTTTAACGTGCACCCAAATCTGAGCACACGGGCCTACAACATTCCCGCCTGCAACGGAAATGCAGCCGCCGCAGCCGGGATTCGAACCCGCGCCCTGCGGGTCAGCAGCCGAGTACCTTAGCCACTAGACCACCGCGGCGGGGCTCTGCGCCAATTCTACAACGTGCACTACGGAAAGAGTAAATAATAGAGAGAGTGGGGAAGGGTTTTCAATGGATGCCACATGGGCTTACCTGGCGGAATGCCAAACGTGCAACTGGTCATGAGCGTGACGAAAAAAAAAAATGACGGTCTGTAAAGTGCGCGACAGATGCGGAAAACGACTAAACGTAACAGAACACTACGCAAGATGAACCGAATGCCTGCACAACAAAACTACGTGTTCCTTGAACAATGAATAATTTCGAGAGCCCCGGACATCGCGTGCAGCTACACTTTGATTATCCCGCACCAAACTTCGGGATGTCAAAAATTTTTATGGCGTCTTCTAGGTCCTACGTAATTTTTAAACAATAAAAAGCAAGCAAGTTCAGAGGACAACCGGGTTGTCCTCTGAACCCCCTTAGGCCCTTGAGCCCCGTGCCCCATCACCGCCCCCAATTTTTTTTCTTTGTGGTGTATGGAGCAAAATCAGAAATGACCATTTCAAGGAAGTGCCCTCCCCGAAAAAAATATCTGCCTACGCGCTTGTCAGGAACCCTAAACAAACCGTGAAATTACGAAGAATGAGCGCGTCATTGTTTCCATGTGCTTGCCATCTTTGCGGCACGATTCGTGACGCCAGGAGTTTGTTCACGTGACGTCAGGATGAAAGAAACTTTAGATTGGTTGATATACGATAGATATCCGTTGCGAACGTGTCACCTACCCTGCTGCGCAATGCAGTCGCATACTCGTTCTGCCTTGTCCCGCATGTCTATAATGCGCGTTAGACGAATTTCACTCCGTTTTCTGCGTTTGCGATTGCGGAGTTGGCAGAGTATAGTCGAAAAGCGTGAAATACTGTCGGGATCAACGTTTTGTACTGATGCTCCGCGTGTTTTATCAAGAAATAATTGGTGAGGAGATAGCGCTTGTGGGGAGGGTCGTGAAGTCGCCGAAAAAAGAACCACTGTCTCGCCTTTCAACTCGGTGTGGTTTATAAGGTTAATTGAATATACCGATTCTCAGGAGATTTTGTTGGGTGACTGTGGCTAAAATACGAAAAGTGGGCTTTGAAACCCGTGACGCAACAGGCGGCAGTTTGGCGCGAAATTCGAAACCACGACGTTGACCTTGATTATCTCCGCTCTTAACCCTTTCTTGCACGCCGTCCTCTGCGATGGTGGAAATATCTACCTAAGAGTTTTTGTATTAAAATTTATCAATCTAAACCACCTCTTTATTTCAATTTAATGTCTATTGAAAGACATTTGACCGTATATCAATAAAATCTGTGCCTTTAGCTATATGCGAAGTCGTCTCTGAGCAGAATGAATGCACAGATTTGCTTTAGTCAATAAGCCAGAAAAGTCTCTTAGCTCGAGACAGGTGGTCTGTGCACCCCACGTACGTGTTGCACGACATATGGCTATGTACAGCACTTGTTTTCCTCAGCTGTCGACGTTAAAACATTTTCCCCAGCGCAACAACGTGGTATTACGTGACTATTTTGCATACAATACAACACATCGATGTCGTTTTTTTTTGCGTGTTAATTATTCAATTTGAGCTAAAGCACCACGTAGGACGTACGAAAGCGGGTGTCATGAGATGACGCCATATGAACGATAATACGCAAATATTTAATTAAGAAGCAGAGCAGTATAAATAGCTAGCCGTGGTCTCTTGACTGACATTATTCATTATTTCTTTTATTTTTTCATCAACACGATTGCTAACGTTAGATACTATAATAGGCTCTCTGGAACTTGCTTTCCTTTATTTTCAGTCGCTTTCAAGTGCGCCCATTATCCGTACTTACTGATCATCTAATAAACACTCGCAAAATATGCATACTGTGATACATGCAAACAAAAACAGTTCCGACACGAAACACCTGGGAAGATGCTATTTTGTCCACTTTGCGCAACATGACAATCACGCGTGACTCACAACAAAGACTTCATTCATAGAGGAAACGAGGCGAATTAAAGAAGGCGTAGGTTCACATTTATTTACTTTGTGCAAATTCCCCCGTAAGTTCTCCGCTTGGCACAAACAAATAAATAAAAAAGACATCGTTGTTTGTTTCCGTCTGCTTGTAAGGATATAATGAAATGATATTTTAACTATTCGACACTATATAAGCTAATCATAGTCACTCGTCTAGCTCAGCTGAATTCAGTGAAACCCAATCGCGGTTCTCGCGTAACGTTCTGTTTACAAATTAGCCAAGGCAAGAAGAGCATGGTAACTTTAAGACTAGTTAAGAGTGATACACGTAATTATTCGTGAAACTAAACCATGGTGAGGTCGTCAAGTAAGAATTCAACAATTCATTACCAACAAAATATGCAAGCAAGCACAGCACAATGTTAAGCTCCGAGGGTTTGACTTTTCTTTTTGCATTTTGTATTGTTGGTAACATTTCCCACAATCGGTATTCTAAGCCATCTGTGATTGTGGGGTCTCACATTCAGATCTCATTATAAAAGGCACGCAGAAGTCGTCCTTTGCCGTCAAAGAGGAATAACTAATGGGTCTTTTTCGCTCGAGTAATTGATTTAGAAATATTTTTGCTACATGCCACCTTGGAAGAATCTTCGTTCCCAGCGCTTCCCTTTCCGAGTGAACCTCTTGTTCGCTCGTAAGCACCAAAAAAAAAAAAACTGTTGAAAAACGTTTGTTTCTGTAAAACGAAAAACAGAAAAAGAAGCAACAAGCACTAAGGTACGCTTTTGAAGTAATCACTTTCTTTTCACACTCTCGCTATACTGCTCTATGGTCATCGCAAAATATACATCTATACGCACTTTACGCAAACTCTGACCAATTTTACGCTGGGCTCTTGTCACGTGTTGATCTCATTGGAATGTTATCTGGAAATTCAAAACGCACTGCTAATATAACCAGTGAAAATTTCCAACTGCGGCAGTTCTCGGCTGCACTTGAATTGACATGATTGAATTTTTTTTAGCCTTGTGCAGGCCACAACCTTCCGCACAGAGAGAAACGGAGAGGAAAGGCAGGGAGGTTAACCAAGCTTGTCTCGGTTGGCTACTTTACACTTGGGGTGAGGTAAAGGGTGAATAATAGAAAGAGATAGATAAAAATAAAGAAGATTAAGAAATAGATTTTGCAATCAGCCTGTCACTTGGGAAAATGTGGAAGTCATGAATGCAAACGCTCTAAAACAAAAAAAGTGAAGAAAGAAAAGTTAAATAACAAGCAAAGTGAAAAAATAAAAAATAAATACTTAGAAGTATAAATTGTGCGCATGATGGCTATTACAAAGCCCTGCCGGACAGGTTGGGAAAGTCGCTGGAAAAAATTTCACCAAGTGTTGACGCGGCACACATTCGCACACACACACGACTGCACGCGTCTTGGTGCTATAGGTACGCCCAAGCAAGTGCCGACGTTAATATACAAACCCCTTCGCCCCTTCGAAGGTTCTTTTTCACGCACCACCACCCTCGAAATCACGATCTTTCGGCATGATCAGCGCGGCGTCACGTTTCGTTTCACACACGAATCTCAAGCACGCGCAAACATATACAATCGAGTTATCTAGTAAGGCGACACAAAAAAAGATCCCCTGCGCTGGACACGTGCACACCGCCCTTGACACATTGACGATAACTCGCCGCTGGGGAGCCAACAAAATCATCAACTCTACGCAGCTGCCCGGGAGAGCATTCGGCAAAGCAGATGTCAGGAACAAATTGAATTTTCTCTCAACCTTGCAACAACTGCGTGACACCGTCGCAACTGCAGCTGCAGCAATGTGTGCCGCCTCCAACCGCTGTTTGCTGCATCCCGGAGTTGCAGCGTTTCAAAGCTGTCCGGTGACGAGCTGTCCATGTAATCTTTTGGCCACTTCGCCACTACGAATACGGTCGTAACGAAACGTACAGGTGGGGGCAGGAAAACCCAACGAATCACCTTATCCGATGAAACAAGTGACAGAACACTCTCACGTCCAGTTCCTTGGCCAACAAGTCGGACAGTTCGTAGAGGTCCATGTCAGTGAAGATGTGCACCGACGTGTCCTTAGTGGCGTGGTTCTTGATGGCCGCGTTCCAGCGGTCACGGCCGAGCACCTTGCATACGTCCTTAACCAGCAGTTCGACGTTAGGCGGTGAGGTCATTTTCACGCCGTTGGTCGGTCGGTACACGAGGAACTCATCGTCGACGAGGATAACGACCAGCCTTCCGCGCTTTTTGGACATCACCAGTTCTTCCAGCAAGTCCTGGCGCAGGAGGCGCACGTAGACCTGGCCCGGGTTTTCGGGGTCTTCGTAGCACTCCATTCCTTCCTTCCTGAAGCACCAGCAACTTCGCACCCGTATGCCGTCGCCCCCGATCTGCGTCGCTAAAGAACTGGCAGCCGTCGCAGGTGTTGCTTGTGTGCCTTCTCCAATATTCTCCAAGGGGTTTCGCCGCTCGCTCTTAGTAGAACAATGCGTTTTCGAGTGAGAGAGCGTTTTGCGAGTTCCCTCTTTGAGCAAGACGGATGCGGAGAGAGAAGATGTTCGCTTCGTAGTCCCCGCTGCGTATTGCGACGGCCTGCGTTGCGGGAGAGACCGCAGTATACTTCTGAAGGTCGGCGTTGTCACAAGCCTCCGTCGACGAGCGCCGGCTACACAGGTGTTCCGACCGCCTAGCGCTGACCCTGCGGAGCCACGTAGCGAAGGAAAGATGCGCACGAACCGCGTCAGGAGCCGTCGTCCTTTAATAGAGGCGCGACGATAACGTAGAACGCCGGGCGGCAGGGGCAGCGAGGGTATCCGGAGTGCACTTTGAGACCATCGTATACGCGAGCGGGCCGTTGGCGTTATCAGCGCAGGAAACGCCACGCTATTGCGGCCGTCCTCTCTCACCCCCCTCCCCCCCCACTGCATTCCCCCTTGCCTGCGGCGGCGCAAGCCCTCCACTTCAAAGCCCCGCACACGTCAGCTACGACGTGGCCCAACTATACGGTCGTGCAGGCTTGCCTCGCAAGAGCCCGCTCGCTTTTCCAGCGTATACCGCAGTGTACCTCCTCCTCCTCCTCTTACTTTCTCTTTCCGTTCCCGTTACGGCTCTCGCCTAATCCTTTTTTTTCCTTGTGTGTCGTATTTCCCATTCTCTCTCGCCCATTGTTTTTCGTGTCTCTTATAGCTACCCCGACCTCACGATGAGTTTCTTTTTCTTGCCCCGGACGTGCTAACTTGCGTCGCCGCTTTTCCAGTTTTGTACCTCATCTTTCTCAATACGTCTTGAAACCGTCAGCTCGCACCGCGATGCCTCCGAATCCGGAGAGCATTCGCTCAGTCGGTCGCTAAGATTATCCGTCTTGAAATGCGATCCACTCGGTGGGTTGAGCGGGGGACCCCCAAAACAGAGACGGCATTCATCCCGATGTAAGGACCTTTTGTGCCCCGCGAGCCGGAATTGTTCCGGGCCAGAGCAGGGGCGTACAGGTATGCTGAGTTTGCAGGCATTCCTAATTACCGACGGGAATCATGATGATGGTAGCATTTTATGGCGTATAAGGGTCAAATGTGGCCGTAGGTACTGGTGATCCGCGACTGTAGTTTGTGATTCAGACCATGTAATGAATCGTCATTAAGAAATTAAGTACAAGAGATCTTAGGTCGGCAAAACAAAGTGTAACTCACTCAGATTCACTCAACAAATACGTATTGCGCTTTGGAGTGGGACTCACGATAATAATAATAATAATAATAATAATAATAATAATAATAATAATAATAATAATAATAATAATAATAATAATAATAATAATATGAGAGGTATTCCGAAATTATAACTGACTCAGACACAGACTCATGGCTCGATCTTAGCCTTCGTGAGTCCTTGTGAGTCGACTCATCGACTCGTGAATGAGTACGCCGACATGCAATAGGTGGGCGCAGTTAGGCAGCCCTGTAAGAGGAATAAAATAAATCGCTGCACAAACGCGGCAAAATACCAATATAATAAAGTACTGCAATAACTGGGCCACTCTCATGAAATATGAAATGACGAAACATTAATGCGTATTAGTTGTGCTAGTACGCTTATATTCCGACGTTCACGCACGTCTGAAATGAAACTGCTGCAGGAGCGGCCTCTTGTGAGCGTCCGTGCTATGTACGGGTTCTTTAAAATTATAACGTGCAATGTAAGTGTGCCCTACAAAAAAATCTTAATAGTGAAAGTGTGTAGAATGACGTTTGTAGACCATGTGGTGTCTAATAACGTGAATTGTACACACACTTCTACGAATGATTTGGAAATTGTGCTCGTTGTTTACAAAAACGGCTAGACTTGCGCAAATCCGCAATCCTTTTGGCAGAGTCGACAACGAAGCATATTCGAAAGATAAAGACGTCGAACAGAAGCTCTTACACGGCCTCGTGGCGCTCTTTGCTTAGTTCAAGTGCCAGAACAAGGATCTTTCCTTTCAGACTTTAGTGTTACAAAATAAAGAACGCGGAAAGTTTAATTCCTCCATCTGCGAAGGGTTGCGATGACTTCAAGAAAAGAACAAAAAACAAAAGTAGACATCGAAGCCCTCACGTTTCACTTCGCAAGCAGCTTCTTTTTTGTTTATTTCTTAAAACTATTTCTTTAGCAACGCAGGCTGCCTCTCTCGCGAAGGTCAGACAGAGTCCGGTTTCTTCGGGTATCACATCGACAACACGTCGCGCGCATGCCTATACGCGAAACAGGACAACTCGAGGAAGCACGTCGTCTCTCTCTAAGCGGCAGCGCGTGCTCAGCGAGGCTCCGAAGCTGCAAAACTTCCTGTTTCCGGCGTCGATCTGCCCTTATTAGTGGGACTTGGCGAGCACTTCCGGTTTGACCCCGGGCGGAACTCTCATTTTTATCGTTCTGGCAATATCCGCCTTCTCGCGAGAGGCTCGGTCCGATGCGGGGCCGATATGTCGCCAACACGTGCTCAGGAAAGTGTGCCTTCTTATACGATTACTGTTTAACCCTCTTTCACTTCGGGAAATCACTTTGGGAAATTTCGAATGATCTGCAGCAGCTTGCCTGAATATTTATTGATCTATTGAATAACTAATTTACTATTTATCAATTTATTTGTTTATTTGTTTATAATTCCTTACAGGTCTCTGGGGCGTGATGGATTAAAGGGGATGCAAAGTGAGGAAGTGAGAACAAGAGTAACCAGGTGATTTAACAGCATCAAGAAATTCAGAACCGATCACCCCATGAACTTAGTATAACGTTCTACAATGCCTAGTAAATCAGTGTCCAAGAAATTTTAAGCACGTGAAAAGTCAAGGAGAAGAGAAATATATAAAAAGGCAGATATGCAACGATATGGAGAAAACAGCAGAAGCAGCTACATTAAAAAAAGCTAAAGTTTTAGCGTTTACATCTTAATCTACAAAATCCCTTGTTACGAAAGCCACATATTGACTATTGTAAAGCGATACACTTTCTCTGCACTCCCCCCCCCCCCCCCCCCCCCTCAAGAAAAAGAACAGTGTTTTATGCCTGAAAAATACAATTCGCAATTGTAGTACTAAGTAATGCATTCATTTTCTGTGCAAATCATGGGATGTCAGCGTAATTTTGACCTGTTTTTTATACCTTAAGAATGACTCTTCTCAAGATTTCCAGAGCAAGGTGCGAATCCACAAATGTTTTTCCTCAATGGTCAAATTAAGATAACATCAAAACAATAGTACGTGCACGCAGTTAATGAAAGATAATACACTAATAATGATCAGGAGCGGCAACACCCCATCACATGTTCCTTCAAGTCCGAAAAGAACTTTTTAATGATGCCCTGGGCATTAGCACTTTAATTAATTTCTTCTGCATTCTCTTTTAGAGTGCTATAGAACACAAAACATTATCAAACAAGATCGCAAAAAGAGGAACGAGACCGCACAAGTCATGCGCAAGCAGCTGGTGTTTATTTCAAAATACACAGCCGCGTAAAAGAGAAACTATGACACAAAAGCTGCATTGTCCTCTATTCGCCCAGAAAGCCTTGTAGAGGATTCTTTGTCTTGTCACGGAAGCCGCCCGGGAGGGGGGGGGGGGGGATTGTGGGCTCAACTATATGCATGCATAGGGTTCCCCTTCAAGGGGGCGGAGGTTCGTCTATGTGCCCATTGGGTTGGCGCTATACCCCCCTTTTAAGTGACTAGGGGGGGGGGGGGCACCCTGCCCACCCCGTGCACCTGCCTATGGCTTCAACTCTCCACCGCATTCCCTGGCTATGCTTTTAGCTGATGCCCTCGCTTGCCGTTTTAATGACATCTCTCTGACACTTCTGAAATACAATGGAGAAAAGCTCTCAATTCATTTTCGCCGGCTCCTTATGCAGGACTGGAGTGACAGCGAAATTTCTCTAGCACATTTTGACCTGACGGGGCACGCTGCCAAATTTCCCAGAGGCGTTACCGAAACCATATGTGCGATGGTGTTTTTTTAAATTTTTTTGATAACTGGCAGACATAATTACCATAGTACCAAACTTCGTAGAAGTACTCTAGTTTAACATTTACTTTTATAAGCTTGTATCAGTGGCTAAACTGACGCTAGTCGATGGGCAGATAATGTTTTACTTCTATCCTATAGCTAGATAATCCAGCTACTTTGAATGAGACGTGGAACTTAATTTAAACTTAGTGCTTTAAATGAGAATAGACCTACGTTCACAAATAAATCAAGAGAGACAATAGAGAAAAAGATGTTAAGCTCAAATTTTTCGTCACAAAGAGCTGCAACCAAATTTTATGCTAGGTGTGTTATTAGCGATGCCCGCCAACCAATAGCAGTGATCAATTACGAACAATAAACTTTATAATTCGACAAAAATTTATTAGAAAGCTGAAACTAGCTAGGAGTCAAGGTGCCGAGTGACAAATGGTCTGTGTGTCGCGAAGTCTCCTTTAAATTAAGGTCAATGAAATGGCCCCCACAAGGATGTTATCTGTACAACCAGGTTTCGATGAAGAAGAACGCGATAGGTGAAAAAAAAAATTGAAATTCAGTTACGAGAAGCACATGTTTTGAACTACAGAACAATGAAAGACATAATTTGTTAATTTAATTAAGTGTGGAGCTTCATTAACTAATTCAATTGAGCATGCCGGATTTGTGTTGCAGGTCACGAACGAATATCAGGAGCATAAATAATTTAAAAAATCAGTGCACCTATACCAGGAGTCAGCTTCAGTACGCATCGCCAATGTGATTGCTAAAGCTCAATCAGGCACATAGGTGGAATTTTTTTTGTTCGCTGACATTTCTTTTTAGAAGTTGTCTTTGAGGGTAAACTTACTTTATTGGTTTTTTTTTCGTTTTTTTTATCAGGTTAAGTACAACCCACTTATGAAATAGTGGAGTTTGAAGAATTCTAGCGAATATGTCATCAAGGTCTTTCGCCAACATTAATAAAATTCTTAATCATTTCTGATGCCTTCCGATTAAGCCGTACTTCATCGCATTATTATGATGTTCATGTTTAACACGGTAACTGAACGACAATTTGATTTTGGTGCTAAAAAATAGAGAAAAATGAACCAGAGACAGAAGAAAAGGTGCATGTACTGTCGCCTGTCGTGTCTTCGGACGTCTTAGAGATCAAATCAAGTTGTTTTCAAGCAATCACCGAACCTCTTACCAACAAGTTCTTAAACTTAAGTTAGTTCCGTTTCAACCTGCATCTGTTAATTTTCGAAGACAGCGACATAGTTTGAACCAATGCGGGCAACTGTGTTTGTGAAACGTTGAAACTCCTATGTACAGATCTACTCCTGAACATAAATATGAAAGTTTACATT